CTCAACACTTCCACACAACTGGATCGACTTAAATTTCTTGCCAATGTCAGATCTCTCGGCGAAATAGGGGAAAGAAGGGACGAGACGATTGTTTTGCTACCTGCGGAGGAGGGACGAAGGCGAGAGAGAAGGCGAGATCGAGCAAGTGTGCGAAGGAAGGTCGGCTGCGGGGTTGAGGGTAGCCGAAGGAAATTTTGGAGCCAAAACGCGGATCGCGGGGAATAAAAAAAGTTGTTCTAAAAAACGCAGTAAAAACGTGATTTTCAAACGCTACGGCGGCGTTTTCAAAAACGCCGCCGCACATTTAAGCTGTCCCAAACGTGCTGTCCCAAACGGGCCCTAAGTTGAAAACTTAGTTTCAAGAGGGAGATAAGATGATGGTGTTTCGTGACGATCTTAGTTTGTGCAAGACCTTGGTGACAGCAGATCCATTGAAGGTGGCTGATAAATTGGAGGGGCTACTACTTAAGACCTGGAAGGGATTTAGAATGTTTATTGGACTTAGAAGATGCTACCGAAAGTTATTGAAGGGTTATAATTCGATTGTGTGGTCGTGGACGAAGAAATTGAAGGATAACTTTCAGTGGAGGAAAGTGACTTCTCAAACTTTTGAGAAGTTGAAGAAGGCTATGAGAAGTGTGCCAGTGCTGACAGCGAGAACCAGAATCAAAGACAGTTTACGAGCGGGAGTCACACAACGTGATCCAACAATAGTTTTTTTTTTCCACCTTGGTGACAAGGGGTCTTTTTAGGAGGAGAGTATTGTTATTCCAGTCCCAAGGGCAATTCATTCTTTTTTTGTGCCTAAGGGCAATTTAGTCTTTTATTATATATTATTGTTTGGTATAAATAGATCTAATATGCTTAGAATTAGAGTTATGCATGAGATTGCTGTCTTTGAGCATGAGGGTTGGGGTTTGGGAGAGATTTTCTACCTCTCGAATTGTAGGAATTGAGAGAGATCGCCTACCTCTTGAATTGTAGCTGCTTATTTTTTATGTATTTGAAGTTGTAATCATTGATTTGCTTTCGATGGAATAAGATATATATTATTTATGTTCTAATTTTTTTTTGAAAATCTGCTTGGTTCCTATCAAACTCTTCCGTGCATTCTTTAATGAAGTATCATCAGTCCTCATCTCTTGAAAAAAATCAGTGAAGCCATAGTGCCAAAAATGAGAGAAACATTTTGAAAGCACACTAGAGCTCTATAACCCAAGCATTCACCAGTGCCAAGACATGATTCTCTTGGATATGCTAGGGAGGGAAGAGGTTGGTCCATCAAAAGTGAATGAAATGTCAACCACTTCAATCATTATTAAATTGCTGTCAAGAGAGATTTTATAAACTCAGACACTGGACATTTGGTTGAGCTGAAGTTCTAATCATGCCAATTCTGTAGTTCACATTTTTTATGCATTTGACAATGCTTCTGGTTACCTTTTTTTAATGGTATATCTGCTACAACGATTATTGTAGATTCAAGCTCCAAGCTAGCCTAGAGTGGACATAATCATCATAACCATAGTTACTATAAATGATTGTCCCGAAAGATAATACTTAACAAGCCTAGTTAGTGACAGACACCACATAAGGTTTATTATCATCAGATGAGTCACCTAAGCCTCAAACCTTTTTATAAATGATAAGTGATAGAATCATGAAATGTGACATCTCACGGAATCCTCAAACCTTTTGGACTCATACATGGTATTATTAATTTTATGTTAACAAGAAATGCTAGATACAAATAGAATTTTAATTCCGGTTTTATTTTTTATTTTTGCTTCTTTTCATAATACTTTTAGTTTGTAGTTAATATATGAATGCTCACAAGCTTTTAGTCGCAGATGCATGTAGGTTAGAATGGCCTTGTCCTTTTAGTTTGCTGATGGATTGCCTCCTGTTTCAGGTATATACCTCTTAGTCGACTTCACGCCTCTCTAACTTATGAAAATTCTTCTATTCTCGGAGTTTCATTCCCTTCTCCCTCAATGGGCAATGGAGTAGCAAAAGTACAACCTCGGTCTGTTTTTCATGGCAAATTTGGTACCATGGATGCAGCAGTCAAGGTAAAATTTCTACTATAAGAAAGAATTAAGTAGTTTTATGTTTTTTCTATCTGATTTATGTCAAATTTATTAGATGACGAGGGATGATTTTTCTGCATTTGCCAATCTTTAAGGATTACCTTATGATACAGTGGATGAAAGTAGGCTAGTTTCCCTTTTTTTACTGAAATATTTTACTGAATTTATGATATATACACGTTGCACGTGCTTTTTATATAAGGAAATTGATGTGATTATTTTTGAATTGTTGTTAGGTTCGCAGTTTGGAAGTTGAAGAAGCATCACAAGAGGATATAAAAAAACTTGAGTATGCATTTCTTGGAGAATTAAGAATGTTAGGTGCTTTGAGGAAACACAGTTGTATTGTTGAAATATATGGCCACCAGATTTCTTCCAAGTGGGTTCCTGTTGCAGATGGACACACAGAAAGCAGGATTTTGCAGTTTATAATTGTGATGGAATATGTAAAAGGGGGATCTATAAAGGTAAATTATGCTTTTCAATTTATTTCCGCCTTTCTCATTTGTCCATTTTGTCATAATTTTGTAATTTCCTGCATTGCAGGGTTATTTGGATAAGTTGTTAGAGAGCGGTGATAAGCATGTTCCTCTTGACATAGCTCTGTTTATTGCACGGGATGTTGCCTGCGCATTGGTTGAATTGCATTCAAAATTTATCATTCATCGAGATATAAAAAGCGAGAATATTTTGATTGACTTGGACTGCAAGAGAAGAGATGGTTCACCAATTGTCAAACTCTCCGACTTCGACAGATCTGTTCCTCTGCATTCTTCCATGCATACATGTTGCATTGCTCACATTGGCGTGCATCCTCCTGACGTTTGTGTTGGGACGCCTCGATGGATGGCTCCAGAAGTTCTACAAGCGATGCATCAAAGGAATTCATATGGCTTGGTAAGGCTTTGAGTTTAATTTTTTTTGTTAGTATATGTGCCCTTTTCTATAAACAATTTATCTTCATAATCATATTTAAAACATCTTTATTAGAAACAAAACGTATATTTAAGCCTAGAGGTTTTTTTCTCATCTACCTATTGTCCAATGTCCAAGGCTTGGCTCGTGCTAGTCTCGTTCAAAAGCATTTCTGCTCGAAATTAGCTCATGAACAGTTTGTTTGTGTTCGGCTTGATTTATACTGTTTTGTTCGTGTTTGGCTCAAAATGAGCTTGTGTTCAAAGTTAAATTTGTTTGTGTTCATTTAAGTTTCTTTATTGACTTTATTGATCAATCTTGATTTTACATAACAACTCATTTAGGTTAAACGAACCAGTTCCCAAACTGAATAATTAATAAATTAGATGAATAGTAATTTTTTAATCTTTTTAATTAGAATAATTGTACCAATTTAAATTATTTTTATTTTAATTTTGAATAAATCTGAAAATTCCACTGCTAAAAACCCAGCCTTTTAACACACCTAAGTTGCAGCGCTCAGCTTAAGCCCTTTCGCCTTTCCTTTTATACAAAGGCTGTGCTTTGCCTTTTCTCAATGGGGGGGCTAAAAGGCTCTGCTTTCACATTGCTTTCACCATTTCATGTGAGCCGAGCTGAGGCAGGCAGGACGGTATGTAGAATGGAAAATTCAAAGATATTTACATACATACCATCCAATATTTATGAATTTACATATCTACCACCTAATGACTAGGGGCAGTTTGTGGCAGGGGGTAGGTCTAGGCACATTTACGTGCATACCACCCAATTCTTATATATTTTCAAATCTAACACCCAAATGTGGGGCATTTACAAACATACCACTGAATTCTTATGTATTTACATGTTTGACACCTAAATTTTGTTTTTTATATTTATACAAATCAAATCTTTGTTGTCACATCAAAGATGCCACTATTTTAATTTTTATATATTATTTATTTATTATTTAATTAATTCGAGCCAAAATGAGCTGAACACAATCGAACGAAAGTATGTTTTTGTATGACTCGTTTATTTTTTGAGCTAAAAAAATTTGTTTTTGCTTGGCTCGTTTGCTTAAAGAACTAATTGAACACGAGCCACTTAGCGAGCCGAGCACAAGTTGTTCATGAATGATGAGATTTTTTGACAGCCCTAGTGGTGATGATAGCGGAATGATGTGCACAGTTGATTGGAATTTTGTTTTTAATTTACTTTTTTTTTTCCTTTCCATCAAAAGATCAGGTCTTTTGTTCTCTCAGATTTTTTTATTCTGGGTTGCGGTTTGAATACCATACTCTTGAAAGAGGATTATAGCGGAATATCAAGCTGTACAAAATGTTTAAGCATATGTACTTTCTATGTTTGTCAGTAGAGGTAGTGAAAGTACTAGCGTGTATTGGATTCATAAAATTGTTCTAAATGGAGGTAAAAAACCAAGAGACACATCGGCCAAGCCTACTGCTAGAGTATTTTACCTTTCTTCTACTGGGGCCTATCAAAAGTACTGGCATAATCTATGTGAGCCAGGATAAAGCCTAAGAGGGAAAATGCATATGAAATAAAAAGCTTTATACTTTATACAATGAATAACTTCAATTTAGATTGATGATGACCCTTTCAAAAGTCTACCTTTGTCACAGTTCAGTTCTGAGTGATGAGGAATCAACTGTTGGTCTCACATTTTGCATTTTGTTGCAAAACTCTATTAAACATTTTCTTTTTTACTTTCTTAATAAGATGGCCATGAGTAGATTTTATATGAAGAGTTGGTTGAGTGTTTTCTGGAGGCGGCGAAGTATGTTGTACAAGGGAAGATAGGAAATGTATTTGAGATATAAATGAGGTGTATGGGTAAACATTTATTTTATTTTTTCTGCATTAAGTTGTCAGGCATAGTTGATTACACCTGTTTAAAAAAATACGAGAGTAATTGTTTATGTAAATATTATAGAATTTTTATTGATGTTCAATGTAATTATCCTTATTATTTAATGATCATGTGTGACCTCCTCCACCTCTCTTTGTTCCTTGCAGTGTGGCTTTCTTGTGTTCTCCTTTATAGAGGAATGGAACCATTTTGATAGAGAGTTGAGATTCCATGTTCTTCTTCCCTCCTTCCTCCTCCTCTCTCATGCACACACTCTCCCTACACCATATATACATTTAGTGTCATAACTTTGAAACTTAAGATTACAGAACTTTAAAATGAATGTAAAAATGTTGAACTTGAAACTGAAATTGGACTACAACCAAAAATGTTCAACTTGAAACTGAAATTGGACTACAAACGAAAATGTTCAACTTGAAAATGAACTTACACAACAAACGTTGTGATGAACTAGATCTTCAGTTTGCTGAAAGCATTTCATTTTTGTGGTCGATGCTTACCCTACTTGAAAAACAAAGCTTGCGCTTAGAATTAAGGGTAACTCCCTCTTCATTGCTAATCTCAGGCGATAAACAGCTAGAAAAGCAAAATAAAAAAAATTAACAATTGACAGGTAGAGTCTAATGATTTAGAATTAAAAGAACTACAATACAAGAACCAAATCAGAGAATTGATATCATCTCTGTCGGCCTCCAATGGTTGCAAGCCCTCAAGGGGGATTTTTAGTTTGGGGGAATCCAATTTTACTACCCTTTTTTACCATCTCAAGCGTATAAAATAATGCTATTATAAAGCCTTTGAAATCTTGACAGCTTTTTGAGAGTTTGAGCAGAGGGGAACGACAATACAGTTGTTATGATTAAGAATGTTGAAATCCTTTTACGTTATTTATAGGGGTTACGACTGGGGTTACAACATATCCGTGAAGAGAAGAGGCTGAGTTGTGAAGATAACATATGTATTCTCTCTCTCTCACACACACACACACACACACAAAAGCAGTTTAGTTCTAAATTTAAATCAAATTTAACTTAATAATCCTCACCGTATGGTTGCATATGAAAAATTATGTCAAATGATAATTAAATATAAGAAGTTGAAATTGCAAATTTAAAATCGAAGTTTAAAATTGTGCAGTTTTGGGTTTTGTTTGTGAGGCGAGACGTAAGCCTCGAGTTATTATGAGGCGTAAGTCTCATAATTAAAACATCACGTAGAACAAAAAAAAATTAAAAAATTACGTAGAACAAAAAGAAAAGATTTTAATAAATTAGCATCCTAATTTATAAATATATTTGAGAAAAAAAAATATTAACATTCTAATGTAGTAATAATTGAAATTATATTTATATCAAATAACAAATATTACAGGTTATAAAATATCATGTAACAAGTTGGGCAAAGTAAAACTATAAAGCAGATGTAAAGTAATCAAAATAATATATGATATCAAATGAAAGTAATATAATAAATCAAATTAGAGTAAGACATAAGATACGTTAGCAAAATGAATTTCTCATTGTCATCACTCGGGAGATCTTTATTGGAGTTATTATTTTAATAATAAATAGCTTTCTTCTCCGCATATTTTTCAATTAACTCCAAATTTTCTCATTCATTTTGCTCTTTTTCAAACCGTCATATTTTTCTAATTAGTATAATCAATAAGAAATAAATCATATTAATTAAAATTTAAGACAACTCCAGATACTAATTTTTTTTGGATACTTTTTTTTAATTTATTGTTGCCTTTTGCTTGTTGTGTATCTATTAAATAAATTAACATTTAAATCTTTTTGTTATAACTCAGAGGGTGTGATTGTATTGTCATCAATTTTAAATCACTCATCATTTGATGACGCATGTCTTCACATGGCAGGGGGATCCTTGTCATTTTTCAAACTTTTTTCGTCAAAATTTTATTTTTCAATCTCTTTGTACTTGATGTACACAAAAAAATCATCGTTAAGGTCGCCAGATGGTTCTTCCTTTTTATGTGAATTTGATTATATGTGCTCCAATTATGTTCACATCCCAATGACAAGTATACACGTTTCAATATTTTATCAACAAAAATGTTGTAGATCTAGACTGTCATCTCTAAACTGTATTTGAAAGGAAATAGTATAGTTAGAACATTTATAAAAAATCAAAATTTGGAGCATCATTCCTTATTTTAATAATAACATTAAATATTAAAAATTATTTGGAAAATATTTTGTAATAGTAATTTTAGCTTGCTGTAGCCCCACGAAATTTTCCTTATGTCTAAAATGCAAACACGCATGCATGCTTCTCTAACATTTTATGGAGACGTTTTTTGAGTTGCAGCTGCCCCCTATCCATGACTCCTGTCATACTTCACATTTATCATTATCATGATTTATGAAACCTCTTGCATGCCTACTAGATCTCGATGGCAAAGATGATGAAGTATGTGTCATTGTGCTCACTCTCATAATAAAAGTTGACATCAATTCTATCATCAAATTTTCGTTTGTTGATTTTTTCATATATGATTGGATTTCTTATTTTACTTCTTTTGGTACTTTAGTATAAGGTGCAATATTCTTGTCGATCCGGAGGGACGTTCCTTCATCTTTGTAAGGCCTTTTTATTTACCTTTTCACATAATTGCACTTCAAACAAATTTATATTTTTTTGTTGCCTCTAATGTTGACTTGCACATTATTTTCACGTTGGATCCTTCCTATGATTTGCTTTGGATTTCTTCTTTGCCTTTGTCCATTTTTTTCTCAAAACTCTAGAATGAAAATTCTGCATTTAAAAATTTTGAAATATGTTCAAATAATGAAACAGGAAATGTACAAAATAAATTAATTAGATTTAGAAAAAAAAAATGTTTTGGAATTGTCATCGGAAGAAAAGAAAAGTAAAAAAAAACTAGGGCGTGACGATGATGTTGGAGATGATAACAGTTTTCAGGAGTGATGGCACTTGTAAGGAGGATTGGCGGCAGCTGCAATGAGGGACAACAGTGGCCAAGGCTGCAAGGAGAGATGTCGAAAGTTGAGGCTGCTAGTAGGGATTGTGGCGATGACAGTTGCAAGGAGGGAAGAGAATGGCTGGGGCAACACTGATGGATGGAGGCAGCTGGGTTTGGAAGGATGTCATCTATTAGGACTGTGAGCTAGGAAGGTGGTTGCGGAAGGGTGCAATTTCTTGTTTAGGCGAGTAGGATGAGCAAGGGTTAAGGGGGTTTGAATGTGTGAGTGATCATGTGATATATTTGACTTATAGTAAAAAACAATTCTAAATTTTGCACGCACCTCACACATAGTGAGGCAAAGCTAAGAGCGAGGCTTATGCCCTTCCGTGAATTTCTGAGGTGTAAACCTCATTATGGTTTGCCGAAGAATTTCTCAAGATGCGCATCTTTTTTTGCAATTTAAAATAAGATTTTAATTTTACATGTGTAACAAAATCAAGAATAAAAAAAAGTTTGTTTCATATTTGCCTTGCTTGTTGTGCAAAAATTCGAAGGATGGACCCTACTGTTAATCCAAGTTCATAATCATTATTAACAACAAAAATAATAAGTTAGCTGTTAGCAACAATATTTCTTGATTCAAATAATAATGAAAAAAATATTCATTTAGTTTCGTCAAAAGCATTGGAAATTAAAGGTGTCAGAGGATAAATTATAACGTACAAATTGTTGTAGAAGTGCTATGCGGGAGCTGTGAACTTTGATGTGCTGTGTGTCAATGTATGAGCCTGTGGTGGATCTCTGATAAACACCCTGCCCAACAGATGTGTTTGAATGAAGAAGCAGAGCATCAATTTGCATTATCTATGAAATCATAATAAAACAAAATTGTTACCATGCACACGAGAGGCTAGAGCTTTGGCACTTGGGTGGAGCTCACTTAATGAAGGAAAAACTTAAAGGGTAGGAATATCAGAAATAGTTGGTGTCTGATGACACTCAAAATATGCTCACAAAAAATGGTTATCTGGCTGCAAAGAATCCCCCATCATTGATAAACCAACACCGAAGTTACAATCTCTTTCTCCGCCAAAGGAGGATTGAGGCAGCTATGGTTGGTTCCCCCTTTAAGATAAGAAGCTGTCAAAAATGGAACAAGCACTCTAATCTACTGATCCATATCGTGCCTCCTCATAACTTGGTCTGGTCTATTTAATTACAGGGGAAGGAACCTCTATATTAGGCAAGGCTCTCACCTTACTGTAAAGATATCCTAATCAGAGTTGGAGAAGGCTTCTTGTCTGCCTTTGGATGGAATGCTTAAGGCCATATGAAGAAGACATATCTCATCAACTCTATATTCCCTTCCAGTGCTCCACAAACGACATTTTTGCGAAGCATAGGAGCCTGAAAATGTCTAAACTGTAGTGAAACAAAGGAAAATAGCTCCAATAAATGGAAGGGCAGGTTCTTCAAATTTGCTGTGAAAAATGGAAAATTGCTCGCATGAAACAGAGGGAAGGCAGCAAACAATCAGGAGTAGATGAGGTTTGTAGGTGGAGGAACAAGCCTGATCCTTGTTTGCCAGCAGAAAGATTGAAGACCAAAGATGTTTGTATTAATTTTGGGCTGTATCATTGCTTATTATAGCATAAAATTTTCTTTATTTGTAGCATGGAATTCATTTAGTTTGCCAGATAGTTTGGCAATCAATAGCTGTAGTGAAGTTCTGACTGTTTTATGCCCAATTAATTGACACAGTAGGGTAATTGGTAGAGTGGGTTCATTTCAATGAGTAGTATACTCCGGCAGTGAACCAGATTTTGTAAAACTTTTTTTTGTTATTTTAACTATTAATTTGTTTTCTTACCCGACGAATGCTGATGTAGCAATATCTAATTTTGAAGTAGTTTGTTGATTGTTTCATTATGATAGCATCCCACTCAAATTTCCTTTTCTAAATTTTGGCAGGAGGTGGATATATGGTCGTATGGATGCGTTCTATTTGAACTACTAACTCTGCAAATACCATATGCGGGAAAATCTGAAACAGAAATTTATGATCTGTTAAGGGTATGTCTTCCTCAAACTTGCTCATCTTTATGAACTGTTTTGTGTTTCTATTTTTTTTGTAATTTTTTATAGTTAACTATTTGTGTGAAATTCGACATTAGATGCCTTGTCTAATTTTATTTGCATATTTTGATTTTATTTATTTATTTTTGTGTTTTATGAATAATGGTTCCTACTTTTGATTATTGTGTGACGTAGGAGTGTACATTATTTCGTCAAAGCCGAAAAATTGAAATAAGTTTGGTTGATTCAGTTCGGTTTCAAAAATGCTTTTCAGCTTTTAGTTTTTAAAATCTATATATATTCAGTTTTTGACTTGGTTTTGATTTTCATTCAACCAAACAAACCAAATAACCAAAAATTCAAAGTTATATGGAGGATTCATGAAATGAAATCGATATTATTCATGTAAGACATGTAAGTGATAATGTTTGTTCTTAACAATGTCTAACAACTATATTCCGGCTTGTTCATAGCCGAAACATTTAAACCAAATTTAATTTTGGTTTGGTCGGTTCAGTTTTATCAAAAATTCGACTGGTTCAATTCTTCAAACTTAAAATTTCAGTTGCAATCGGTTCGACCAATTTGAGAGCCAAAACATCCGACCGAATGTTCATCCCCATGTGAAGTGATCCTTCTTTTTCTTGTGCTAACCTTAACTAATATTCCTTGATCTTATTAGTTTGCTACACAGACATCTTTTTTTATTCTAGGTGTTTAATTAGAGAAGTGTCATACAAACATATGACAGGAGAATTTTATTTAAATTTGAGGTTGAATTTTATAAAATTGTAACTACGCCAGCTATACTGTATGGTTTCGAGCATATTGGATTCTGTGTAGGCCAATGATAGTCAAGACTGGTAGAAATGTGAATTTAAGATTAAATGCTTCACTTAAATAGTAAGGATAAATTGAGTAAGGATTTTGTTAGGAGGATGGCTTAGTAGCATCTATTGAAGAGAAGGTTGTGAAAATAGTTTTAGTAGATCCAAAACGGTAAACAAAAGGCAATAAATGCAATAATTGTATTAGTACATAAAATCAGCATTGTAGGATTAGAGAAAATATTGCATGCAAATGAGCTTGATGTGGATTGATAGTATTCAGGTGGTATTATATTTATTCCAAAACTACTAATACACAGAAAGAAAGCTCAGACCCAGTTCCTGGATTTAGTCAAGAAACCAAATTGATTCCCTCAGTTGCAAAGATCATAACTCAGCATCATTATCATCATCGATTATTCTAACCATACTTGGAATTGACAAATCCTTGTTTTTTTGTTCGCTCCTATCGAGTGTTACATATGCTAACTTCATTTTACACAAATCTTTTTGTAACAATTCTATCAAGTTACCGCAGGTCTTCCTTCATTTCCTTGCTAATCCAGGAAATATTGCATACATTACGTGCGGATCGGTAGCATTCAGGTGGATATATGTTGAAAATTTTGGCAAGACGATGTTCAGTCATTCTAGTTTCCGTTGATGTTTCTTGCCTGAGATCATCCATTTTTCCATTGCTCACTAAGCCATCTGCTATATTCCAGATTCAAATTGTTGTGGATAAATTTTTTCCTTTCTTAAACTTATATAACATCTACATATATGTTCTTCAACAGATGAAGCAAAGACCCCCACTGCCACCAAAACTGGAAGCCCTTATGAAGTCCGAGGAAGTGACACCCGAGTTTGATCTCGGACTTTCCAACGCCGATATGAAGAAGATGAGAGTACTATTAGATCTCTTTCACCAGTGCACCGAAGGAGATCCGGCAGACCGTCCGACCGCCATTGATGTCTATGACAAGCTCTGTTCTGCCTCTCAACAATCACCTGATTCAACACAAACAAGCAGCCCAGGCAACGGCTAGGTTCCGACCCCAGGATTTTTGTACTTTCTATTTGAGCTGGTTCAGTCAAACCGGGCTCATGTTTAAGATCCTACTGCTGCTTTGCGAGAGCGGGTTTCTGCTCTTCGGATTCATGGAAAGCAGTGCTAGTTTAGTGCTGCTTCATCATTGGAAGCTGGAAATGAGAACTTGGTAGGATAGAAATGTTTCCTCAACTGTTTGTAACTCTTCCATTATTTAATTACGAGGAATCGGTTATTCTTTTTAGGAATTGTTGATTCTGTAAGAGGAAAAACTTGAGAGCTGTGGAATGAGGCTGACAATTTTAATGGAAAATTCAAAATTTGTTTAGTCTATTTAGATTGATTTGTTTGGAGAATGGCTTATTCGAAGTTAATTTGATTCATGAGAGAGAGAGAGAGAGAGAGAGAGAGTTGAAGATAATGTGTTGCTTGTGGATGCCATCATTTTAGAGTTGAAGAGATGACAAACTTAAATTATTTTTAAGATGAAACATTCTACACAATGATTTATATGCAACTTTAAGAGTTGAATAATCATTTTGTAGCTGCAAATATGAGACTTTTTTTTTTGTTTTTTCTATTACTTGTTTGAATCCAACTAATTCATTCAACACATTAAGTAAATATAAGTTAATCAGGTGACATATTTATTTTCAACTGATTTTAGTTCAGTAAGTTTAGTGCTTATTGATAATCAATCAGAAACTTAAATTATGGATATGCAATATGATGTGCAATTTTTATCCCTGCAAGATTTTGGAAGCCTAACAGAATAAATGATTTTGACTAAGAAAGTTAAATTATTTTCTTCTATTTTCAAGCTATTAAAACTAGCATTAGTTTTACTCATTAGTGTAGAAAATGTTAAAAGAACATTTTCAGCTATGACTATTATAAAAGTTTAATTGCAAAATAAAATTGAAAGTTAGTTGATGAATGATATCTTAATTAGTTATATTGAAAAAAAAATATTATATAACATCAACAATAATATAAGATTTCAGTACTTGCATAAATGAAGGCATCATAAGATGTAAGTTTTTTTTTTTATAATTTTATATTTTATTTTTTTTATATAAAAAAGTTTCTAACTTTTTTTTAAACTATCAATGTTAGTCACAAGCTCGGATGAATTTTTGAAAAAAGTTTTATTGTGCCACCACTATGAAAACTTTGTGGCTTTTCCACTTGAGACTAGGGGTGTAAACGAGCCGAACACGAGCGAGCCCAGGTTCAGCTTGTGTTCGGCTCGTTTATATTTCGAGCTAAAAAAGTGTGTTCGCGTTCCGCTCGTTTGCTTATCGAGCCGAACATGACCTGTTCACGAACAAAGAGTCATTTTGACAACTCTAGTCACGTAGTCATAAGATGTTAGAGATTTGGGCAAGATTTAAAACATCATTTGAATCTAAACTAATAATTTTTATTATATTTTCTTCATTAATACTTTTAATTGATTATAAATTTTTGTAGCCTTGTAGTCAATTAAATTTTTTAAAAATACTACTCATGAAATATATGTATAGTATTTCGAGCCAAAACGAGCCTGACACGAACGAACAAATATTTGTTTGTGTTGTTCAAGTTTGGCTCGTTAACTTAGTGAACGAGCCGAACACGAGCTTCTTAACGAGCCAAGCACAAGTTGTTCGCGAACAACGAGCCATTTTGACAACCCTACTTGAGAGACTATGATCACTTAGTGGCTGTTACCGACCTGAATGATTAATGTGGAGGTGTTAATGATTATCCACCAAGCCACAAAGAGAATTTGGGATGACGAAGGGGATAAGATTTAAAATTTTGCCACTTCTATTTAACCGAAGAACTCCCTTAACCCCACAATAATAAAGCTTCACTATATAGACTAATATGAGACATTTGTCCCATAAGGATTGCCTGGATGACAATAGATATAGTTGCAAAACCCAAGTTTAAAGAGATGGGTGATGAGTATTTAAGCTTAATATATATCTATCCTACAAATTTTTAAATCATGATTATTAAATTTAAAATTTAAATCATATTAGATTATTATCAAGTATTTTAAGTTTAAAGGGGGTGTAAAATTTTCTTTTTGTATTTTATGGTACTAAAAAACTTATTAAAAATCTAAATATGATGAATGCTCCACTCTGCACACCCATCCTCTTGTTTCAATTACTGATAAAATACAATGTTTAGAATGTGGAAAAGAGGGATAGTATCCTTATTCACCATGTTTTTATGGTTTCCACTAGAGCACTTGATGCCACTCATGCTCCGATTATGGGCAAAACCATTGAAAATAAAAAAAGTGACCATGAGTAGGCTAGTGCCTGCTCTTCTAAATTTTCCTTCCATCTTAGTGATTGATGAATTAGTATAAAATTCGATATATATAATATAAAGGAATTCAATATTTGGCATAGGTCCAAATATCGACTTTTCATGCGTTTTTTGGCCCCATGATGAGGGCCCGTGTCATGTGCCTAAAATTCCAGAGCTCCAGCGCCACGGTGGGATCGAACCCTTGATCTGAGGGGACATACAGTGACCCAACCACCAACAGGCCAAGGCATGTGGCGCACACACACATAAATATATATATATATATATATATATATATATGAATAAAATTGTAGGATTTAGTTTATAGCATTTTGGTAGAGTTAATGTAAATTAAATGCCCCAATCTTACAAAAGTAACCTCATGTATATATACCCACACATACAACATCGTAGGTGAGAAGACACTGACAAGTGTGGGTGCTCAATGAGACACCACAAGTGGGAGTGCTCAAAGAGCCACCCCAAACATAAATGTTTAAAGAGACATCCAAACATGCCACATGTAAAACATACACAAAAATAATATTTTACATGTAATGAAATAAATCATAGACATCTAATCAAAAAGATTTTCCATACACATGCAAAGAAAGCATGCAACATGCAAGAAAGCATACAAGCATGTAGGTGATCAATGACCGGGCCATGCGACCAGTCAAACCGAAAGGATGAGTTGATTAATCTGGGACGATCGATCAAATCCAAAAGAGCGTGCGATCAACACGGGACTGTCGACTGGACCCAAAGTGGGTGATCGAATTAGGGCGGTTGATCAAACCCAAGGTGATCGACTCATAGCGGTCAATCCAATCCAAATCGATCGGGTGATCGGCCCGAGATGGTTGATCGAACCTAAAGCGGGTGAACGAGCCGGGGCAGCCGATCTAGATCAGAAAATAAGTCGATCGTGTCAGGACGGTCAATCATATCCAAAGCATGTGATAGATTTGGTGCAGTCGATCAAACTCAAAAGAACGGGTGATCGGGCTGTGGAGGCCAATCGAGCCCTAAAAATAAGTCAATCGGGCTGGAACAGTTGATCAGACTCAAAGCAAGAGATTGAATTGGTGTGGTCGATTAAACGCAAAAGATCAGGCAATTAGGCAAGGACGGCCAATCTAGCTTGGAAAATAAGTCAATTGGGTCAGGACAATCGATCAAACCTAAAGTGAGTGATCAAACTGGTGCGGGCGACAAACACAAAAAATCGGGCGATTGGACAGGGGCGGTCGATCGAGTGATTCGATCGGGGCGACCGATCAAACAATTAGATCATGGCGACTGATCAAGCCAAGAAAGTAGGTCTATCGGACCCACACAATCGATCTGACCTAAAGCAGGTGATTGATGTGGGGCGGTCGATCTAACCCAAAGGATCGGGTGATCACCTTGAGATGGTAGATGATACCCAAAGCTGGTGATAGAGGCTTCGTAGTCAATCAAATCGAAAGGATCAAGTGATCGACCTGGGAAGACCGATCAGACTCAAAACGGGTGATCAAACTGGTGTGGTCGATCAACCCAAAAGATCAGGTGATCGGGTCGGGGAGGCCGATCGAGCCCAGAAAATAAGTTGATTGGGTAGGAGGGCCGATCAGAACCAAAGCAGGTGATTGAACTGGTGCAGTCGAGCAAACCCAAAAGATCAAGCGACCAGGCTGGGGCAACCAATCAAACCCAAAAAACAGGTTGATCAGACTGGGATGACCAATCAGACCCAAAGTGATCAGTCAATCATGCTGAGGTGGTCAATCCAACCAAAGTGCTCACCCGATTATGCATAAGATATATGACATTATGCACAACAAATGAACTCATTTATGTAATGCAACCCAAAATGCTCGACGACACATCGAACTTGTCCTAACGATCTCGCGTAGGTACCTACGTTTTGCACATGGATATGCAACATTGTTGCTTTCTACTTTGGCAAGGCTTGTGGGAACCTCACCTTTAGATTTCCAATATGAAACTCTCTACAGTGTTGTGGAATGGACTTGCTACAAAGCTTTTCCCATTCCACAACTCCCCATGATTTTGCAAAGTGACCTAGCTACAGTTCTTTTCTCTTTTCACATAATTTCAAATATCCCAACCCTTCTAAGGAGGGTTAGAAATGCAAAAGCAAGGGGAAATTAAGATTCCACTCTTAGGAATAGATCTAAGGGTCACAAGAGAAACTCTCAGATTTTCTAGGAATTTGTCAACGAATGCTTTCTAACCTAGGGCTTCCTCTAGAAAATCAACAATCGATCTAAAAAAGTGTGACCTGCTGACTCGTGTCGATTGGTCAACTCACCTACTGTGGGCGACTGAAGCCACAACACCTATCCAAATCTATTCCTAGGGCTAGATAAGAAAGAAAATCTCACTAACATGGCATTTGATGTCGTGTTTCTTCTCGTAGGATGAAGCTCTTTTGGTGGTAGGAGAGATGATGACATTTTGGCGAAGCTCCAACGAGGTCTGCTTTACTCCTTCTCCAACAAATGAAGAAGCTCACCTTTAGAAGGAAAGTCCAACAAAGTTCTAAGCTCCAGTGAAGTTTTGAATGTGCTCCAGCTATCATTCCCCTAGCTAAGATGAAGCTCTCCTTTAGGTAGGAGAGTAGGCACTTCGCTCTCTTGCTAGCCAAGCTCTTCCTCAAGAAGATCTCCTCATACCACTCAAGAAAAGTGATGGAGGAATGATGGAGGAAGATGAAGGAAATGAGAAATAAGAGGTTTAAGAAGATGGAGTTTTAGGAGGAAAAGAATAAGTTTTCCTTTCTTTGCTTGAGCTCCTCTCCAATTTTTTTCTTCACCACTGCTCCTCTCTAGCTCTTCACTACCAAGAGGAAGAAACAACCCTCTAAAGCTTTCAAGCTCTTACAAACTAGCACAAGATTGAAAAATGAGAGAGCTCACAAATGAGGCGGGGGGTGGGAAAGAGAGCTTAAACCAGCCTCCCCATGTAAAATCCTCCACTTGCCATTTAATTCAGCTAAAAAAGGCAAATAAAGGGCATCTAGAATATGCCAAATAAAGCT